TTTTTTTTTCAAAATTTCGACGAATATGATTAATTCCTCACAATAGGCAGAATTGCCAGCTGATCGAAAAGCGGAATGTGAAATCGTACCGACGATGATTAATGTTAGCATTTAATTCTAATGATGCTGATGATGACTATAAAGGATGCCTCGAAGATGATATTAATATTTACAAAGCACTTAAATGACAGACTAAGTGAACAACCTTTGAGGCACTAACTGACCAAAGTCAATCGCGGTTAAGCACAAAAAGTTGAAGTAAAGCCCATTGAAGAAATCAATCTGAAATCAACGAATCGTCACAGTGGCTGCCACTTATGTCGCTGGCAATCACTTTCATCTAACTGTGAAATTCATTGCTTATCACATGATTGGCAGCAATTTCACTGACAATGAGCAGAATGGAAAGTTTGCGCAGTTTCATGACTCAGACACATTCCTCTCTCTCTTGAATTCATCCCAACGTGAGTAATAGCTCCAATTCATGACAGCGTCGTCGTTCATATGTCACGATACTCAAGACTATCAAAAACGTTATCTAATCGACTACTATCACAACATCTCTGTCGATAGCGATCTAAGGTCTCGTTTCAGCGCCTCATTTGTCCAGATGGAAACTACAGTTCAATAAATCACAGGCATTTTATGAAATCATCATCACCTGTCCGTTAAGAAGAGGAAGTAGAAGAGCGCCAAAGCTAACGTAGAGGAGGAATGCAATAAGTAATGCCAGAGAGGTTAACTCAATCGATGATTCCGAGTCATCTCCTTTAGCCTTTGAGCGTCTTCTTCGATCTCTGTACTGCTCAACCTAGAAATTGATTTAATTAAGCCGTATTTGTGTGCACACCCCTCCATTTGTGGGGATTGTTAGTGATACCTTCATGTGCTAAACTCCCAAGAAAGAATAAGCAACGTCCAGTCAATGAGCCACTGACTACGGTCAATTATTGCCGGAATGTGTTTCATGTTTTGAAAATTTGAGTTTTTAGATCGACCGTGATAGAATCGCACTGAATTGTTGGCAACAGTCTTCTAACAACAGAGGGTTTTGAAGTGAAGCACTCATGTGTACTATTTGTATTCCACCAATGTATTGGAATTGGAGCTTGATAAGTGAGAGAGCATACGAAGGTACATTTATCGTTTACCTTGATACGTGAGTTTTTCGCAAACTGATTCAAATATTGCCCAACATTGGCGATGATGATCATTGTAATTGGAATACCACAAATACCGTAAACTATGCAGAACATGCGACCTGCATGTGTTATGGGTGCAATGCGATTGTATCCTGAAAGAAGTGGACATGTTTCCGGTGATTATTCGACGAATCTGATGAAAATGTGCGATAAATGAGGACACGAATGCATCGCTCAATAACTAATTAGAACACAATTTTGATACTTTCACCTCGGTATTTTCAGAAGGTATTTTCAGAAATACATCCCCATAACGAATTTACATTTACATTTAAGCAACTACGATAGTTGTCTTTCATTCATGTTTATTCATTTCTTATGTTACCATGGGAGTTAAAAGACTTACTTAAACGTAGTGAATTTTGTTGTTCTGGGCTGATGGTGTAGTAGCACATCTCATATGTAAGATAAGTGTTCATGATAAAATTGTGATTTTTGAATCTGAGGATTCGCCGATATGTTTGGGCGCATTCGTGTGAGTGGGATACAGCACATTAACTACTCATCAACTATGCATTTTCTCATCTTTCAACGGATGCTAACAATTACATATTGCATTGCATTTGCGAATGGTAGTTTACTGGCAAAAAGCATCTTGAATGCATGATTCTTATGTAATATCAACGACTATTATTACCATGCCATTAAACTCGTAAATTGTGACGCAATTATTCAGTGAGAAAGACGCTTTTGAGTATTCAAACTCGAAGTAGCGTCGAACATTAGAGCGTATCTTCACATCATTAATTCATCATCAGCCGTACACCAATAATGACTCTCTTTTTTAAGAAATTGAGAGCGACTTCAAACGTTTGAGTACTGAGATTCTGATGTGTAGTAAATCAAATATCGAATGAAGCGATAAAAATCGTAACTATTCGGATACTTTTCCCGATAAAATGCTCGAAACATGTCAGTGGTACGGTGCTGATATGAGAAACCTAATAGACTGAATCACATGGTTACAGTTCATAGTATTAGCAATGAAGTTCGATTGGTGTGTGTTTGGTGTGAGAAATCGAATGAAATTCATCAGTAATTCTTGCGCTCAATCTCAAGTTCATGCTCGAATTGAAAAAGAACATCTAATATAATGAGGTGGTCAGGACATTCCTATGACAAGCAACGATAAAGACTAGAAAGCATACCAAGAGTGGTCACAATACCAAAACCATACAGAGTCGACGTTACATAACTCCATTCCGTTCGCTCATCAGCCTCTTTCTTCCAGCATTCCATCACGCTAGTTGCTGTCACGTTTGCATCCTTTTCAGAATGAGTCAATATCTGCAGAGTATTTACTTATTTCGTGATCGACTGAAATTTTTTGAACCTGCAGCAGATTGAGCATAAATGCTTGGAATTTAAAAATCGACCCTTATATTTACACTTGTTTTCTGTAGTATTCAAGAATGGAGGTTGACTGAGTTTTTTAGACTAGCAACTGAATTAGCCTTCGACATACATTGTTAAAAAATTTATGATTAACTCTGTTCTGTTGGGTCAATTATCCAGATTTGGGAAATATATTATCACTGTGATTATGGCCTGGTGAGCCGAAACGTTAGAGCTTGTTAATAAGCATTTTAAGATGGCAC